TATACACACATACTACACACACACACACACACACACACATATGTATATATATATACATAGATACCCACATACATACACTTACACACATATATGTACTCACATACACACACACATATGTATATATACATACATAGATACCCACACACACATATGTATATATATATATACACCACATACATACATCTACATACATATATGCACCACATACACACACACATGTATATATATATATATAGATACCCACATACATATACCTACAACATATATGCACCCACCGCATATATACTTATTATACACATATATACATGTCTACATACATCCAAATATACACCACACATATATATATATATACCAACATATCATGCGCAGCTATACACCCATACATGCACATTTTGTATGTTTATGTTTAGGTGAAGTTTAATTAATTTTGTCTAATGATCATTTGGAATAGAAAAGAAAAAAATCAAGTCTATTCTTCTTTACAAATAACATTAGAGTTAGGAAGTAAGTAAGTAAGTAAATAAGTGAACTTCGTGAAAGAGTAATAGAATGAAAAAAAAGGTCAAATGAAAATAGAATAAGGAAGTAATAAGTAAGTAAGTAAGTAAACAAGTGAACTTCATGAAAGAGTAATAGCATGAAAAAAAAGTTCATAAAGAATGTGACAAATGAAGAGACAACAATAAATATGTTCTTCCATTTTTTTTTCTGGTACATTACAATAAACATGTTTGGAATTGAAAGCATTACAGTACAGTAATTGAAAATATTACAATATATATCTATATTTTTTTTTTACAACGATTGTTGTAATACTATCAGTGTTTTTGAATTGATATTGTAAGGAAAAAAAAGGTGGAAAGGTCAATAGGTTATGGATGATCTTTGCTCTTTCAATTTTTTTTTTTCGTGATTTCAAAACTATTTTGAAAAAAGAGAAACAAATTAAGATTATTTAGGAATTGTTTCCTCATCCATAATTATTCCAATCTATTCCTTTATAATTTTTAAAAAATTTCTTTCTTGACACATAATTCAATCACATCATCTCTGTAAACTTCCTTCTTTTTTCCCGGTAATTAAAATTCAAATTCAACAATCCACCAATTTAATTCCCTGCTGTTTCAGTACTTTGAAATTTTTAAATTTATCAAGTATGAATTTGCTGCTATGAAATTTTAACTGTAGAAGATATTATTGTTAATATGAAGTTAAATAAATTGGATAAGAAATAAATTATACTGTATTAATTACAAGTATTTTCTTCACTAATATTTATTAATATCATAATATCATTATTGCTGATAATTGGAATTTGTTCATATCATTTTGTTAATTAAGCCTAAACAAATATCTAGCCTATATATTTATGAAAAATCAAAATTGCTAATATAAACATACCATTATATGTAATCATGATAACATATATTAAGAACAAAATCCAGTTAGCGCCATTATTACAGTATATTTTGTATTTCTACTGTAGTAAGCTTCTAACTTTATAGTTTCTTCAATTAATTTACGGTATTGATTATGGCATACCTTTATCTCTTCCTCTTTTAATCATTTTTATTAAATAAAATCTTTTTAGTCTTATTTCTCTGAACGAAATTTATCAAACATTTATGTCTTCTTCGTTTTGATTACATAAAATGAAATTGTATAAGTTAACTGAGCAAATGCCCGGTATATTTCCTGATATTCTTAACTTCCACTATTGATTAATTAACATATCCAATTCCTGCAATAATGATGTATGCAAATAGAAGTACGTAAATCAAAAGTTACGAGAATATGCATCAGTAAATTATGATGGCACAATAATCGTACGAGGATATTTACCGAATAACCATTAATGAGAATTTGCTGAGATTTTTTTTCTATAAAAAGTAAACATTTTGAGATGGATAAAATGCGTTCATAATTTCGAAAGAAATGTTTTAATTCAAAAACTAATGAAAGAAAAAAATGCTATAATTTAAAATCAGAAATTTTCATTAAATGAAATGAATTTAATTCAGATTTCAAGACTTTAAAGACAATTAAATGTAATACAATATAAGAACGTATTGAATTTTTTTCAAAATTTTAAGCTATAATAAATCTTTTCAACAAACACTATAAAATGTCATTTTCTTATTCTTTGTAAAGAATTTTTCCTTAATTAAACTAACTCTTGCCTTTTCTACCTGGAAAATTTCCACTAAAACTTTTTCTACATATTGATAACATTACAAGTTCTTATAGATAATAAAAAAAAATTTGACAGTCTTATCCTTGTATTGTCTCAAATGAATGCATTCTAATCCGGCTAAGAGCTGGATAGCAAAAAGGACATTATTGAATGTAAATCCAAGTAAACAAGAAAATTTGATGATCATGAACTTAATAACAATGAAATATAGTTCTCAACAAAATAAATACCAACAGAAATATAAATGACAACATAAATTAAGAAACTCTGAAAATTTTCGGGTTTTTGTGGGAATAAAAAATGTAATTTCGTTAATGACAATGCTGCCGTTTGCAATATTTTTAAAATTTCAGAAAAAATATGAGAACGTTGGGAGTATGAGTGCTTATAGAAACTTACAAAGTTGTTTCATTTTTTATAGCAAATTTTAATTCAAGTCTAATATCTGCGTTTAACCCTGATCAGTTGATCAAGGGTGAACATAGCAGAGATCGAAATGCTTTCAAAATCAAAAAAAAAAAAAAAGAAAAAATAATAGTAATAACGACATAATCAAAAATAGCGTACAACAATGCATAAGAAAAGTGTTGACGTGAACTGCAAAACAATAACATTATGTACATAAAGAGAGAACTGAGTACAAAAAATTTCCGATTTGTTTTTTTTATCGACCAGCGGAATTATCAACTAAAGCCTAATTTACAATTACTTTGAAAAGCCCTAATACAATCAATAACTGTTTAGAAAGTTTTCGTAAACCGACAGGCATGAAAGACTACAATACATTTTATTAGAATATGGAAACAATACGACAGACAACCCGAATGAGAAAAATTATTACTCGTGAACTTTTTGGTTCATTCTTCTTCGATAAATATCCCGAACTATCCCAGATGCACGTGGTGCCGCCTCCTCATCACTGTCAGAATCACCACCACCAGCTGCTCGTCTCTTCCTTTGTGTAACAGCTGATTGTTGTTGTTGGTATTCGCTTGATGCCAAAATCTAAACTTTCTTCCAAATTTTGATGAAGTATTTAACATCTTTGATAAAATATTAGCTGTTAAATCTCATCCAATTGTAAGTAGATCAGAAGCAGAAAGATAATAAAAACTTACAACATTAGGATCAGTAGTAGTATTCAATAACTGATAAAATTCTTTTTTGATATCTTCTACTCGATGCACCCCAAACATAGTACCATTTTCCAGTTTCACTTTAGGATCAACTGATGGTGCTAAAAAGGACAAATTTCGTGGATGATAAAGAAATCAGATAAGCATTGAATAGAACTATTGCGGAAATCGAGAGAATTTAGAAAATTTGACGGAAAAACATACGTCCACTTTGGCTGAATTTTGTCAAGCTTTCCATAAGTAAATCTATCGAAACAAATGGACCATTGAAACACCATGGAGGGGGTAACATCTGCATCAGCTGAGCGGCCGCAGCCGGTGGTGGGAAAACACCTTTAAAAAATGAGATTAACAACTTGCAACTTTGAAGAATTCACATATTACAAATTAGAAGATTGGAAAAAAAATTAATGTAAACAAAAGAAAAATTGAAACAGAGCATACCACCAGGGACAGGATGATAACTGGCATTTGTGTTCAGTTTTGGCTTGAAAGGTATCATTTGATCTGTATCCGGCCTTGGATAACCAGAAATTTCCAAACTTACACCACCACCCATTACAACTGATGGTCCACCTCCACCTGCAGTTTGCCTCACTGTACTTTGTCCTGAAATAAAAAATAAATGAATAAATAAACTATGAGATTTCAGATTGCAGCATAAATAGAATGACAAAGTCATCAAACAAGAAAACAAACCATTTGTTTGAACACCATTTGACAATAAAGAAGCCGTCCCTGAAATTGATGCGCGTCCAATTAGTGATGAACCTTGTCCCAGTTTTTTCTGTAAATATCTTAGAACACAGGACTGAAAATTTGTTCGCAATTAAGAATTTGAAAAATTTTCAACAAACCATTTCTAAAAGCTTTTTTTTAAAAGAAGTTATAAGTTCTTTCTTTTTTCTTTTTTCCTATCAAACCATTTACGATTAACAACGGATTAATCAAATTAACAGTGTAACGATTTGTTCTATTGGTGCTCATTAATAATGTGGAACTACCGAGCTAGCGCATGATTTTTGATGCACTCAAAATTAAAAAATTTCCTCGTGAATCATTCCCAATCTTCTTTTTTCAGCTTTACATAGACTGTGATATTATGTGAAACCTAGCAAGAATCCTAAAGTCTCAAGAAACATCAAATTTGATCTGGGGAAGTTCAATAACACATGCATGAAGTCAACAAATAATCTCATGGATTTTCGGATGTAAATAGATTCATAAAATTTCTTCGCTTTTTAAACTTTTTTTTGCAGTCCCAATACAATTGTGGCAAGTACAATAAGAGGACATTTAAAAAAGTAAAACAGGTCAGAAAATATCATGGGATTGATAAAGATAATGGTTGTCATAACGACTTATTGCATTATAATGAAATTAGAACCAAAAAATATCTGCAGATAAATGCTTGAACTAGATAATTTGCTTGCTGCTTACCGAATAACCCATCAATCGTAACTGATCATTAGTGCATGGTACTAAATCCAAAAATTTGTATCGATCAATTAACAACAGCGTTTGCATTTCACCACACTGTTCTTTCAACGCTTCACGTCGTCTCTGATCAACTTTTAAGATACTCGACAAATCGCCAACATGTGATTCAAATTCTAAGTAACGATCCCAAATCTCACTAGAAAGAAAAAAAGATTATTAAACATAACGTCCAAAAATAAATTTGTGATCATGCAAAAAAATTGACTAACATCGATTTTTCAGGCGTCATAGATTCCGAAGTCAATATTCGCTCAAGTACAACACGTGTATTGTTATCTTCTGAAATAATTTTTTTTTTCACTTTCTTTTTTCTTTTGAACAAATAGAATTCAGCAATTCGATTTTTTTAAAATACCAAAAATTATTTTTTAAAGACATTACAAAAGGAAATTTGATATGGAAAACCATTCTCGACGAGAAATATATGTGCAATTCCTAAAGCAAAGCACAGAAACTACAGCAGGAAAACTATAGAAATAGGAACACAATAATCCGATCTAAAGAACAGATCATAAGATATAATAAGTATCTTTGAGCTTTGTTAACTTTTTACGTAACTAGGATTACCATTTAAGTGCGACAGAAAATCGACGTAAGCGAGAGCATATTCCGGTTCATCACCATATTTTTTTAGCCCCATATCAAAAACTCTTATCGCAATATCCGTATCCTGAAAAGTCATAGATAATGGAAGTAGTGCGTCAATAATTCAATTTCAGACCTGAAGCTGTTAATGAAGGGCTAATGCTTTAGAAATATTGGAAGTGCACAGAAGACTGGACGTCACACCACGAATTTTAATCCTGAAAAAATTATTAAAAGAAATATAAAAATCAAGGACCTTGCTGCAGTAATATTCCATAAGTGCGGATGCAACAAAAACGTGAAATTTGCAACGTGAATCCTGACGTGCACGTTTGAAAACCGCGCGTGCATACTGGACACCTTCAGTTCGCCTCACGAATTTCATCAGCTGTATATAGGCCTGAATTTAAATAACCAAATAAACTGCGTAAGATTAATGTATTTTCATCACTTGTGCAAAATTTTTTCAAACTTTTACAGACAGCACCATAATGTATCACTTCGGATAGAAAAATGAAGTTTTTTCGGTAGAGAATATATGCATGTTGGCATGTATGTATGTATGTCAACATAGTACATAGTATGATGAAGTTTATAGCTTTAGAAGCCCATAAATCTACGAATACCAATGAATAGCATGTAAGCAATTACCAAAGTTGGGTCGGCCGTTTCAATGGCCAAAAGACGGTCGTAAATCTTTTTCACATTATCAAATTTCATTCGCTCTTCTTCATAATCTGCATATGCGAAAAACAGAAGCTGGCTTTCCTTCAAAAGGCCTCCAACTGCACGCTCGAATAATTCTGGAAAAAAAAAAATCTTTTAAAGAAGAATAGGAAAGTAGAATCACTCGAAGCAAATACAAGAAAGTTTTGCCAAGAATGCTTCGCATATTTCTCTTTCTAAAATCATTTCAAAACAATTAGGGATTATCCGAACCTAATCAATATATGCCCATTTTTAATTTTCATCTACATATTGTATTCTACATATTTCATCTACATTTTTAATTTTCATCTACATATTTTCATCTACATATTTCATCTACATATCTACATATTGCTTAAATTTCATCTACATATTGAAATTAATTGAGGATGATGCATAGTGAAGAAAAACAATAAAAACAATAGAACGACAAAACGAATAAATAGTATTTATCTTAATCTTGATAATACTATTATAGTAACACCTGAAAATATTCACCTAATAGAACCTTCAGTAAAATCTACAAAATACTCCATTACTCTAGCAAACAAGGATTTAGCGATTTTTCCAAATTCATAATATATAGCAACTAACGAATGATATCAATGTTCATTGTTGCCGCTAATTTCACATCACCCTTTTCTGCTAAAACAGCTGCAGCTTGTTGTTGGAACAATGCAGCTTCGTACCACATGTCGGGGTAGTAACCAAGACATAGAAGAGCTTGTTCGTAAGCATATATTACTGTAACCATGGTAAACATATTCATTATTAAACAACATAAATCTCTAGCGATATCAATCTCTGATATTGATATGTATCGTTCAGCTATACACATTATCATATTACCAGTTTTTTTTTCTCTAAGACAGCAAAATTACCATATAATACTGTTTGTTTTAATTTAATGCTTAAGTATTAAAGCTTATAATCACCTCTTTTAGCAAAATATGCATATTCTTCAGTGCCCAAAGGATTACTTTTTTCCCATTGTATGTACTTTCGCCACATATCTAGCTGAAAAAAAGATTTTATGATTTTTTAAATTAATTTTTTTTACTTAAATTTTGATTTTTACGAAGTCTTTTATGTCAAATTTTACATAACTAATTTACTCTACAAATTTTTGTAAAAATCAAAATATAAAAAACGGAAATGGAATTAAAAATTTCAAACCTGCTTCATTTCTGCAGCAGTTCCTCGTGGTGGTACACTTACAGCTTGTCTGTTTAATCCTCTTGTCACTTGTTCCAATGATTTTGAGATGCGCTTAGCAACTTGGTATTCCTTATTTCGTTCAGCTATCAATTTCTCTGCTAATGTAGCATTTACGCTCTAGAATTCGGAAAAATAACAAGGAAAACACAAAAAAAATCAAGATTTATTGTTCATACAGCAACAAGATCAAAACAGTTTCAAATTCCTCCCAAATCACTTTTTCCGTAGACCAAACCGTAAATTCACTTCTGCATTCATTAAGCAAACCGTAATCAGTAAAAGATTCAACAAATTTAATGGACAATATACAAGAATTCTTCGACGCCTTACCTTTTCGTAAGCACAGTATTCAGCCCACAACTGTTCAATATTAACCATTGGAGTGACGACACCACGTTGATAAACTTTACGAACAGCTGAAATCCGCTGATTCTCTGCATACTGACCAACCGTGGGTCTGTAATGGGCAAATGTAATGTTAAACGTCCCTAGAGAAACATAGATTTTCTACTATAGTTAACAGAAAAATTAACAAAACTTACGCAGATTTGAGAAAGGAAAGATAATCGGAATAAATTGAGTATGAATGCATATCAAGACCAATTTTATCCAAAGCAAATTCATATGCTTGTGCCATTTTTTCCCTGAAATGGGAGAATATGGGACTTATTTCCAGAAATGCAAAGATATTATCAATATGCAGTTCTAAATCGAAGACTACAGACTATTTAATTATGTGACAAAATGAAATTTAATTGCTGTAATACCGCAATAAAGATATTTAAATAATAAAGAAGTGAGTAAAGTAACTTGAATAACAATTGGATGTCCGTTTAGTGGATTATGATAAAATCATTAAGTAAATGTCAAACACTTGAATAACGAGTAAGATTACTTCAATAAAAGCTAGTTCACTCGTTTTATCCAAGATTCAAATTATAATCTGATGCAGGAAAGTTGAAAATTGAAGTGCATGTGCAATTAATGTCTATAAGATATATGTAGTATATATACATAAATTAGCTGCATCAAAAGAAATGAATGTCAAACCTGAATGAAGAGAGATGCCCTTTGGTCTCACGCACATAAAAAACATAACACTTCCAGAGGTCGATGTTGAGGACATGAATAAGACAACGTCCAAATAACTGCAAAAAAAATGTCCTCCAATCATTAAGCAGTAACATGTTATCAGGAATAAAATAGCACTTTACTCTTTATTTTTTTTTTTGGTCTGGAATCTAGACAATTTATGATAGTGTTATGCAAATCCATTTTATAACGAATAGCCTAATCATGAGTTAAATTAACATGAATGATTTTAACAGTTATTATTACGGTTCGTGTTGAGGACATGAATGAGACAAGGCCCAAAAAATAAAATACCATTATATTGCATACGGTCGTAAGGAGAGTCGCATCCCACTAAATGTTGGAGTACCATTTTCTTTTACATTTTACTTCTTATTTTACCATTTACCCTTTAATTTTATCATTCTTTTTTTGTGGTAATGATGATCCAACAACTTACTAATGATAAACATATGGATTTCAAGTTGTATAAGAAGTTCCAAGTTGTGATACTTCGATCAAATTACTTACTGCCGAAAATACTTCAAAATACTTCCATTGCAAGTTAAATACTCCTATTACAATTTAATTATGAACGTTGACACGCATTAGGCCCAGGAAAATTATCATAATACCCTCGTTGGTTAATCCAGTTCCCACTAATCAACAGAGAACAGTGCTGACGAGCCTTAAACTTCGAGACAAAGTTTCGCGTATATTCTGCATGATGAATCTAGCTAAAGAATTGGGATCACATTAAAGGTTTGGAAAAAGTACTCCAACATTTACTTTCCTTGTAACAGCATAGAACAGATCCTGTGATAATTGGCCGTTAAAAGCATTCATGTTAATTCAGCCCACAGTTGGGCTATTCGCTGTAAAACAGATTTATACAACACTATCATAAATTGCTCAAATTCCAAACCAAAAATTCTGGAAACCCCAAAAAAGAATTCAAACTTACTGATTCCACATTTTCGTAATTTTTGCCACGAAGCTGAAATTTAAACAAATAAGATTCTTTCGTTGATGAAAAATAAAATTTCAGAAATCAAAAAAAGAGAGTGTGAGCTTACCTTCTAAGAAATTCATGTAAAGCTGACCCATAATAGGCATTACGGCTAAAGCAATGCTATATATTGAGCAGCTGTGACAACAGATAAGGTAGCAGATCATGTCCATGTTTTATGATTAATTTAGTCACATGACAACATACGTCATGTTCATGTTTTAGGATTAATTTAGTCACATAACAACACACGTTTAACCATAAATCTCCCCGTGAAATTTTCAAGATGATGTAACAATGTTTTGGTAATTTGTCAAAATGTAAGCTGGATATTGTGCAACAAGAAAACGATATGGAATTTTATAGGGTCAATCTGAAACTTTCGGGAAATGAAACTCTAACACCAGTCAGCAAAAGTTTTTCTTAAAATTATTAGGGCAATTCTTAGAATATGTGCTAGACTCTCCTCTTCCTTCAAAAAAGAAAAAAAGAAAAGAAAAAAGAAAAAGAGACTTGTTTGAACTATTATTGCTTTTAGTTAGTTGAACACTGTTTTTGTGAAAGGATTTCTCAAAATTCACACCACGAGATCGCCCAGACTTTCAGTGTGATGCTCTTTCCTCCCCTCCTATCGGCATTTCTGGTATCCTTTCACAGAATTTCACGTGCCGAAAAAGGAGATAGAATGTAAAATGAAGTGAATTTTGAAAAATCATGATTAGTTGCAATGTGAAAGAGATCATATTTGTTGCATATTCTTTATTCGGTGGGAAAATTTAAAAAAGAAAGAGAAAAAGGAAAAAGGAAAAATGCAACCAAAAATATGTATTTTATTACTGTTGGGCCACTTTTTCAAGTAAAAATTTTTATTCCGTTCGGGATGGTGGCAAAATTCATGCAGCAGTAGTAATACATTTGATACTTGTTCAAAACATTGACTAAAGATAGAGTATGTCATTCCTAAATTCACATTTTTTGTTCTCAGTTTCACAGAATTCCCATGTTTGTTTACACGAAGAAGGAGAAGAAGAGCAAGCACCACTGCGCGCTGCAAAATTGCAAAACAAATAAAAATGATGGTATTCAATTGATGGAAACTGTATTGCTGCTACATTCCAATCCATAATAATTTATCCTTTTCTCTAAATGTCCCTCAAGTTCGTGATTTACGAAATCGTGATTTTGATAAACAAAAACAGTACCAATCACTCTCTGAACTTTTCTGCATATTTTAAGGGATTTTATATAATGAATAAAATTTTTTTGATATTTGTCCTTTGAACCCCCCACTGTCACTATGTTTCAAGTGTGAATATTTTTTAGCTGAAACGACCACAATGAGCAAATGCAAATCCAAATACAGCTTCGCCATAAAAGAGATCGTAAAGTAAAATAAAAGTCCATAATTTTGAAACAAAGCAAAAATTTTTTCAGTAGAAATGACTTACTTCATGATCTATGTATGCTTTCCAGTAACGGCCAGCATTCGGGAACTGTGTCACCAATTTTTCATAAAACGAACGCACCTGATCAATTGGTCTAGCCTGAAATTTCACACACTATAAGATTCTTTTGGATATCATAGCATATTGCTTTCCCTCTGACCTGTCTGTCTGTCACAGTGCGCAGCAGTTCGCCCCCTGAATAAGGCGGCCTACTTCCATAGATGGCTGGAAAGTTATTCCAAATGAGTTCTAGCTTCTCAACACATTTTCGTTACCTAAGTATAGTTTATTTACAGTTTATCTCAAAGAAACGAAGAGGGTCGAGTGTAAATGATTCAAATATTTTCGATATAAAATAAAATTTACAAAATCTTTCCAGCTCAATTAATCTTCATCATCTCACTCCCCTATTTTTTCATTAAACGAAAGTAACTTCTCAAATGGTACCACAACAAAAACCTTAAAAAAATTGGCCAGAAATTATTCTGATAAGATCATATATTTACTCTCAGCTTGATTTAAAAAATGTCACGAAGTGAACTAGTGTGTCATTAAAAAAAAAATGACACAATGTGTCATTGTGTCATTTTTCTCTTATGTCATTAACCCAAGTTTAACAAAAATGAGGCACAATTATCTAACTTATGCACTACTTACTACAATTACTTCAAATTCATTTATTTTAAATATCAATCAAATTGAGAGTCCCCAACATATTTCAACCAGGAAATATTAGTGTTCAATAAAATGATTACCTGTGACTCTCGTAGCAGAAGATTCCAGGCATCGACATCGAAAGGATTCAATTCAATCCGACGTTCTGGACTTACAATTGAAAGCGAACTCATCGATGAACTAAGATAATATGAAAAATTTACACAAAACATACATTTTGATGAAAAAAAAAACTATCGATTATTTTCGCCAGCTGATGAATTATCAAATTTCAACAGTTCCATTCAGTATATGGTCACAATCTAATAATCATCAATAAGATTGACAACGAATAGTTTAAGACATTTGATGAAGTGTTTGTCCCGATGAATCAAACAAATTGGAGAATATTTCAGTGATATAGTGATATTTATAGAATATTTCGAGAGATTCAATAATTTTGGGAAGCATCCTAATATACATTAAAAGATTGATTTTAATGGGTTATATCGGAATTCTTCCTGGTAAAGATTTATGGAAGACCTATATAGCCATGTGATAATAGTATTACCATCATTAAACATGTATTTTACAAATAACTGTACAGACCGAGATATCCTGAAATCTGATTGATTCGAATGATGTCATATCCATAATGACAACAATGTAGCAATTACATTAACATAAAGAAATTTTAAAAAGATAAACAAAATCAATCATTCATTTAAATTTAAGCCTAATTATTAAAATTTTTAACAAAACAATTCCTCTCCTGTTTTCCTAACCTTCTAACACTTTCAATCTCTGGTCATAATAAATCACATTAGTTCCCCTAATATTTTTACAACTCTTCATTTTTATTTTTCTTTCACCCCCTCTCATTCATCTCCATTATCTCCTTCCCAGTAACTAATCCTTTTTCTTTCTTACCCTTAAATAATGCACTACAAACCATTGACATTTAACTAACTCATTCAACATTTTCTCAATCTCTAATCTCTTCCAATTTACCAGTAATATTTCATCATCTGTAATCTTTAATCTATGACATCTTACAATCCCATCAATTCCTAACTCTCCCTCCAGACATACAGTATTTCTCTCCCACCTTCCTCTCCCCATAATAGGACCCAACAAAAGCTTTATCCCCAGTACAAACAACGAAAAATGCATCAATTAGCTCAGAACTTACATCAAAATCATGACGTTACCAGGCTTTCGTGTTGAGAATCAAAATGATAATAAAAGCTTAAATGAAGTATGAAAAATGTTTGCTTGAAACATACTTCTGTTACCCAACTGGTAGTCAGCGAAGACGGTGATGCATCCGGTAAAGAGGGGATAGGGTCTATTCTTATCATTGGTTAATAAGGTTAGTACGTTTATAGGATTTATTATTTTTGCATTCTGTAATCTTTGTTGCAAATTAAAAAGTCAAAGGTCAAATCAGATTGGTTAAGAAAAGGTTAGGAATCAATGAGTTAGATCAAAAGTGATGCACCGAATTATTCTGCATTCTATACATCAGAGATTATTTACTAATTTATATGGTATTGAAATTTAAATTCAATTTGTGATTTCGAAAATTTTCTCCTAATTTTAAATAGTTAACAAAGTAGGTAACAGTAGATGCAATATCCATTGTTCGTTTTTTTTTTTTTGGTTTTAATATGATTGAAGATATTTGTGGTCATTATGATGAATTAGGAAAGATGGAATGATTTTTTCCCAAGATGGAGGATTTAATCTTCGAACTGGATAAGGTTTCCTTTTTTTTTCCAGATAATTTCTGCGCTATGAAAGTTTTTCCAAAATTGTGTAACATTGAAATTGAAATAAAAGGAAAGAGAAAGGGAAAAATGGAGGAACAAATTGTAAACATCATTTGATAAAGTCAATCAGTCATTCAGTGAATTAATCGATTAATTAATTAATTAATTTATTTATTTTTCGTAAATTTTGGTGCTAACTATATAATTTAAACTTCAATTCGGTATTAGCAAAATAAAATGTGACATGCTAGATTTATGTTTAAAAAAAAAAAAAAAAAAGGAAAAAACTAGTGGCAAAGTAAGGAATTTCATTCCTTCGATTAATTAATACTTCTGTAAATTATTTTACTGTTGTGGATGTAATTTGGTGTGAATCAAAGTTCTAACTCAGATGCAATTACTTCAAATTCCTTTTTTCTTTTCTTTTTTTATTTTGTTAATTAAAAGGCTTGCTAACAATTATCAAAAGCTTATCACGTGTATTTACTGGAAGCTGTCACGTATAGCGTGCAATTATGAGTAATAAAAGAATGCATCCTATAAGCAATTAAATAATATATTTATTAATCATTACTTAAATTATCTGGAATTATTTGGATTTGAAATCAAAAATTAACAATTTATGTTTCAGAAATATTTAGAGATGGCATTTTTTTTGCCAACCTACTGTAATGAATAAGGTATTTGTTAGAGTTGGTACTACAAAAACGATTGGATGTATTAAAATATTGAAACCTCAAATATTGAAACAGTAACCTTGTGATACTGTATGAGTAATATTTTACGATAACTTTTTGTAACAAATAAGTTAAATTCTGAGTACAATAAGACAGTCAGCTGATTTCTCTAACATGTAAATGTGCGGATATTGGTAGAGGAATGGGCAAATAGTTTCAGTTAATCGAATGAAACTTGCATGAGACGCGTAGTTGCGTATGCTGACTATTCAAATCAGTAAATCTACCAAGATAAACATCATGTATTGTATATTTTTCGAGATATTACGGGAATAGAGTATTAATGACTCGTCGTCCGGGTGTGCTAACATTCATTTGGCGTAATTTTTTGGATTCGTTTGATCGGAAACGATTCCAGAAAACTTTTGTTGGCAGTGATGAAGAAGGCAACAGATACTACGAATTAACCAAATCCAAAAGAATTGTTAACAGGTCAGTTGGTGATGGATTTTTTTTTTTTGATTTCTTGAATATCGGGATTCCACTTAAGTTTTTTGGACGAAACTTTTATCTATAAACTTCAAGTAACGCTATCATCTTTCCACTTTCTTTATTGTTTGGGTGTAAAATTACAAACTATTCTGTTGTAGATTTGTTGGTAAAAGTAACATTTTGATGAGTCCCATTGAATTGTAATTAAATCCTATTAAGCTATGGAATTAATTCCGGAGATTCTAAAAACCTCCAGGATGAATTCCAAATAGGTTATGGATTCATTTACAATGAAATATAGAATGGATGACTGGAATAGATGAGTAGTGAATTTAATGAGTTTTGTAACGAGTTGATAATAAGTTAGGTGGGTAACTGCACGGTAATTGAAGTCATTTCCAAGATGAATAATTTTCTCCTGAAAGGTGAATAATTTACCCGTTTGACAAACAGGGTTGGTAAAGCCGAATGAAATTACAGCGAAAGAGGAAAAAATCTTTGAACTTTCATGAAAATAATTCAGATTTTAACATTTTCCCTCATTACCAGTGCATAGGATCCATTGTTAAAACTTTGCAAATTTAAATAATTCTTTAACATCAGAATTACATAGTATAATATCATAATTAAACTTGATGATTTTGCAACAATGATTGAATTCGTAAATCGGTATGATGTCAAAACATATGATTAATTTTTTCAACTCATTTCACGGCATAATAAACAAACATTACAGAGGTTTCATACCGGCAGTCAATTCATCCGAAGTACCATCACCAGAATGGCTAACATGGCTACGAGGGTTACGGAAATTACCACCGACACAAGAAGAAATTTTAGCGAATCGACAAACAAGTGAAGAGGTTGAAATTTTGAAAATTATAACTGGAAATTTCATGCAGCTGTTTGAGATTTTGATGCTATTTTTTCGTTCCAAATTTTAACTGACATTATAATCAGGCGGTAAAATAAAAGAATAATTTTATGATCGAGTCATAAGCGTCATAAATCTTTCCATCATCCTATTGTATAGTAAGCTGTAATACATTGCGGAAATTATGCATGTAATTATTTCGATTTTGTTATCTTTATTATTATTATTATTGTTATAATTTAATTGTTATGTAGGGAACTACTATGTATTTTTGAATTTGACAGTTTAAAAAAATCACGTGTTTCATGACCATCAACAGTTGGTAAGCTTTTGCAGATGGCAGAGAAGGTGGAGAAATTAGAACGGAATAGGAGGAGCGAAATTCCGGCTAGTGAATCGAAAAAGATGCCTTACATAGAATCGACAACGATATCCGACGATTTCGATTCACAACCGAGAAGTTTTCCACGTTATGCGGACTATGATAAAAAACAGCTGGAAATGACATGATCGTATTTTTTTTCCTTGAAATTTTTGTTCGGAAGGCTTGTTTGAGCTAGCTGTTCTAGAATATAAATCTAAATTATAATTTAAGTTATAAATGATTCGCACATCAAACTATACTTCAGCAAATTTCTTACACTTCAAAATTCGAATTACAGGTGAGACATGAGTTCATCAGTTTTCTCAGCTGATATTGTTAAGAGATTGATTCGTTTCAAAGGATAATTGATATAAAGGAATTTTAGGACGAACATTAAGAAAGTTCTTAGTGCTTCTACAGTAATTTAGTTTTTATATGTATAATACTTTTGTTTGTCACTGTTAGCTATCATTTTATGTTTCAAAATATATCTTTTGTTCACTTCTGTTACGTGAACTGTATTTTTACTCTTTTGAATTATAATAAATAATCGAAGAACCACACTGTTTTTCAGCTTTTCTCATAAATTGCTTTGCTTTTTTGTTATGGCTTTTGTCATATACTGATTTCCTCATAGCTACTTCACACTTTTTCGAAATGCATGCTTTTGAAATTTTGGTTATCTGTTTGATGAATATCGAAATGATTATCATTACTTCAATGCTTAAGGCTAATAAGAGTTGCAGTTATATCAAAGCAAAGTAGGACATAAATTTTATTGATTGAAGCTGGCTAATTTGATGCCATGTTCGTTGGTCGGGGAAACGCATTTCACTCGACTAGGTACTATAGTATATGTTGACCGGATAGATAAATTTCTTGGGTGAAACGATTAAGCAGTATAATGTGTGCTCACTAGTGAAGCTTGGAGAGAACAAGCAATGATCAGGCTATAGCTTTTTCTAGATGAACGCAAGACTGTGCCATGTATTATATCGATTGTTTTCTGGTATCCCTAATGCAAGGAAACGATTTTATGAGGTAACCATGAAATTAGATAAATTATTGAGTTACGAAAACATACGGTTTTTAAAACGGAGGGGATGACAACTTTTCTCATAAAATTTTTCTCAAATTCATTAATGAGAATTTGAAACTTCGTCACTTACAGGAAGCACGGGTTGTATTTAAGCCAATGGAGGAAGTTTATAACATATATCTTGATAAGCACAATTTGGTTACACCGAAGCGGAATCCAGTAAAGGTTTGATTTTCTGACAAACATAAACTATTGTTTTTTTTTTCTTGGTACTCAGACATGAAATGGAACAAGAGTTCTTTTTTTTTCTTGTCGCGAATGCTATCTTCATTTGACAGGAAACAATGAGGGAAAAAAACCATTTCGCAGTTTAGTTTCTTTTTCTAGATATATTCTGAAGCACTTGCTCTTGCTGTAGCTGAAGAATGGAACATGCAGAAGGATGAGTTAAGGATGGACTTAATGCGGCTCACAGGCTTGATTTTTACAGCTATCGATAATCCGATGTCATTAAAAAAGTATGCATTGTTTTTCTTTGAAGTTACACTATTTCATTCATATTTAGGATTCCACTGGAAATAATTTGTTCTCTCTGAGGAGTAATAAAGCAGTAAAGCTACAATTAATGTTAATCTGACCTTTAATTAGTTGTTTATAAAATGTCTCTGAACTGACTGTTTGTGTGGTGTCATTGTTGTGTCGAAATAGCGTAAAATTAGTATCGGATATTGTCCAAATATGCTCCGCTTACTTTTGTTGGAGAATTTAGTTTAGATCTGACCTCTTGTCACAAGTGCTCCAGTTTCTGGACAAAGACACAGTCCTATATCGACTGGTGGAAAACAGTAATTTACTAGAGCTAGAAGAGGCAAACTGGAATCCAGTAGTCGAATGGGTAAACTGGGAGTATGGTTTGTCAGCGAAACCGAGTTATTCACTGGTTGAAGGCTAGTTGCATTTTGAAGTTTTGCTAATAACTTTAATGTTAGCTGTAGATCTCGGAAGCTGATTACCCTCTTTCACTAACTTCTGAAAGTTTTCATGTTGTTTTTACAAATGAGTTAATTTTATTGATTGTATTCAATAAAATGGCTGGAGAACGGGCATCATGAGCTTAATCAGTTTTCCAGAAGCTGTGATCGACAATAATTCACGAGTTCGTTTGGCAAACCAGTTGTCAAATTACAGTTTTCTACAATTGATCGGTTTACAATATGCTACTGAAGCGCTCAAATCTGTATTTCTTACCCTGGCAACCGTATCCTCTCGTTTGCATGTCAATGAAGCCGTTGAACTGGCACTGTTAGAACAGAAATACCAAAGTGATATCTGGGGAAAAGTTGGTATTTAGTCTGACTACCATTCTCTACCAGTTTTTGTCCAGAAAATCTTGTGGATACTTCTCAGCTCTTTGGTTGGCAGCAGTATATCGAAAGTTTTCTTTGTTGTTTTTGAACGTGACAGAAAATAGATTGAAAATTAGCATCTGTCGCTGAAAATAAGTAAATATAACGAGGACTTACAGGTTGAATGGGCTCATGATATCGAGCGAGAAGAACTGATTTCACGGTTATCAGTCGGTTCACTATTAGTGCATTTGGGTGACTTTGAACCACAATACGAAATGAAATCTCAAAAAAATGAAACTGTGGAAAATGATACAAAAGTGGTTTAATTTTTTCAATTTCTGCCGAATTCATTGATTTGGAATTTTTGATCAAATGTAGCTGTAATAATGCATACACCTTATAGAAACAGTTATTTTCTCCTTTAGTATGTAGTGATAGTTTGTTTCTAAGTATGATTGAGAATGCGGGTGGAAACAAGCATAGGACTGTGAGTACAAGGAATCGAAGAGTGATTTGAAAAGAGACAAAGGGAATATATATACTTTGCGTGTGACAATCATTGTGCCTGAATGCTGTTACTCGATTCTTCTTAGAATTGTTTGATGACTTTGAGCATATCCCTCTTTCTTATCAGAAAATGAAAAATAAGAAAAATATGTTTCAATTTAAATTAACGAATCTTTGGTAATCCGTTTCGTTTGCTTACTTGTTTGTTGATTTTTAAATATGTAATTGTCAATGGTTGCATCTAATGTTTAATAAAGTATATTTTTTACTAAATTTGATAAGACTACATTCACTAGCTTATATGTTTAAAGTCCATGATTTATCTTGCTGATATCCATTGATTATGCTTTGTTTAACTAAACATTATCACTAGAAATTCAACTAGAACTTCAGAATAATATCTTCTTCATTCAAATTTACGTTTTAATTTTAATCTTCTGTTAGATGGTACGATATGATCTACTTCAATACAAATATTAGTTTGTACCAACTAAGTTGCATCACTTTTGAATTCATTTTTGCACTTAATCTGAAACAAGTGTTCAAATTACTCCATCATGTTGACACTACCTCGGGTAGTTTATGAATACTTTTACTTTTTTCATTATGTTTCAAACTAAATTTGAAATTCCTTTAAAATAGTCGTACATGAAGTGCTATTTTTGGTATGTTTGAATTATGATTGATGAATATTTAAGGATGTTTAACTGAGAATTCTATAAAAATGGATGCATGGGAATTATGTATGGTTTTTTTTCTAATATTTTCAAGTTTAATTTTTTTTTCTCATGAGATTAATTGATGATTGCAATTTAAACTTTTCGTTCGGAACTTTTTAGAAATTTAAGTGAAGGAAGGAAGGAGATATAGAGAGCATGAAAAATAATTCAAAAAAGGTGAGAGACACCAATTCTCAAGGACTTTGAGAAAGGTCATTTTTCAAACTTCGATGTTGATCTTTCTGATGACTGTAGTGTGAGTGGAACATTTAAGTTATTTAAAATTGTTAATATGGTTGTGGAATGTGTTGCTGAATATATATATATATATATATATATATATATATATATATATATA